GAAAAGAAAAAGTGAAGAAGTATCAGGAGTTGAAGCAGGAAATTATAAGATTGTGGGGATTGAAGAAAGTCGAAGTGATACTGATAGTTGTTGGAGCATTGGGAGCGGTGTCAATGAAGATTAGTAAATGAATCAAGAGAGCAGATGGGAAGTTAAAAATCAAACACTTAAAGAAAACAGCATAATTGGGGACTGCCAGAATCTTAAGGAGATATTTAAGCATGAGATTTACAACAGAGTCTATTTGTTATAGACCAATATTGTACATATACCAACTTAGTGTTGTGTGATTACATTAACACAATAATAATAATAATAATAATAATAATATTAATAATAATAATAATAATAATCCTTTCTAACTCTCAAAATAATAATGATAATAATAACAATAATAATAATTATTATTATTATAATAATAATGATAATAATAATATTCCTTTCTCCCTCACATAATAATAATAACAACAACAATAATAATGATAATGATAATAACAATAATAATAATAATAATCCTTTCTAACTCTCATAATAATAATAATAATAATAATAATAATAATAATAATCATAATAATAATCATAATAATAACAATAATAATGATAATAATAATAATAATCATTTCTAACTGTCATAATAATAATAATAATAATAATCATAATAACAACAATAATAATAATAATAATAATAATAATAATTTAATTTGTGGAAGGATAGAGGATATGTAACAACTGAGCAGAGTCTGTGTGATCAGGTTAGATTGATTAAGAGCAAAAGGTGGCTAAGTGTGGTGGAGTTAGATGCTATTAGGCAAAGAGTTTTAGGATGTGTTGGGGATCTAGAAGTCAGTCAGCTTGACTTTGGGGATCAGGGAGCTTGTGAAGAGAGTTTGGTTCATGATGCAGGTGTAGTTGAGGGAAGATTAGAGGAGCATGTTTATGGTGCAGTTGATAGTGGTTTAGATCCTGTTCCGAGTGCAGTGCGTGAGGAGGTGATGGAATTGAAGAGAATTTGGCATGAAGTTATGAGTAAGGATAAAGTGGAGCGTTATGATTTTCGAAGAGTGAATAGATATCGACTAATGGAAGAAACTAGGAAAGTAAATGAGTTAGTGAAGTTTATTAAGACATCAGATATTACTGAGACAAATTGTTTATTTAGAGCTGTATGAGTTAATGTTGCTAAACGGCTAGGTCTATGTGAGTTATTAGAAGATAACAGAGCTATAAGGGGAAGAAAGCCATGGTGGCATAAGAGGTTAGAAAAGGATATCAAGGTCTTAAGAAGTAATATAAGTGTGATGGAGAGTACGAGAGCTGGCAGATTAAAGAAGATGAGTAAGTATAAGCTGTTAGAGAAGAAATATAACATTAAGAGGAAGGGGTTTCAAGTCGTTCTGGAAGAGCTGAAGCAGCGATTAGTGGCTAACAGTGGGAAGGTGAGGAGGTATGAGCAGCGAATCAAGCAGTATACTCAAAATTGTCTTTTTAATTCTAATCAAAAGAGGTTTTACCAGCAGCTAGATGGGGGGATTGAAAAGGAAGGGTTTGGGCCTGATGCAAAGCAAAGTGTGTCATTTTGGAAGGGGATTTGGGGAACGGCAAAGGATTTCAATCAGAATGCTACATGGTTAAGAGAGATTGAGGAAGGTGGGACATCAGTGATGCAGGATAATCTGAGTATTGGTATAGGTAGAGTTATGAAGCAATGTAAGAAGATGCCTAGTTGGAAAACTCCAGGACCTGATGGTGTACAGGGATTTTGGATCAAGAATGTTACGGCACTGCATAAGAGTATAGCTAGTCAGTTTGATAAATGTGCAAAAACAAACCCAATTTATGCACTATTAATACTAAATATGGCGTCATGTCTTCAAAGATATACAAAATGTGTTATTACTTTTGTAACGCGCAGTGAATTTTCAATTAACAAAATAAAAAAATTAATATTATATCTTTGCTATAGCCTTGGACAAAAAAGTCTCGCAAAGCTCAAAAACTAAAACAATCATAATTGTACACTAATTCTTACAAATCAAAATTACATGAATCTATTAGAATATTGCCACAAGAGGTTATACAGTACAAATTTTTACATTGGGTGCTTCAAATTACAGTAGAGGCCCCCTACATGTACATGTATGTCTGTCAGTACATGTATATTGTAATTAACTTATGCAACAAAATAACTTATGTGGTGAATGCATAAAACATGCATTGTTTCACAAGTATGCACTTCTAGTCAGAAATTGATTACACAATACAGATCTGATTTTTAAATTTGGTACTCACAGATAGAGAAAAAAATTCCTTTCCAGCAATATCCCGTTTATGACAATGCACAATAAAATTTGGAAGTTATGGATGCTGTTTGGACGATTGCTCTGGAATACTAGTACAGAGAAAAGCCATTTTAAGTTATTTTCAATGTTTCCGTGTCATGCCCGTTCATGTAGTACATGAAACCACGCCTGCCAGGAAAAACCACACCCAAATCAATTAATAAACGGGGAATGAAGAAAGAAGCACTTTTGACTTGCTTTTCACAGCATTTGAACTATCATTTCTTGTATAATGGACATCGTAAGAGTTGTCTAAAGCCCTGCCATTCATGGTGGCTTCAAATACTAGTAAGTTTTTTCATTACCTAGTTACAGAGTTATTATTACGTCCTCTAGTGCTAAAAGTCCTAATTATGGACTGTTTTGAACACGGATCATCCCCATACTTCATTCAAATCCAACCATCGCTTTTCCTTGAGTTTACAGGTAATATATTTATTATTTTTATTTAGAAGTATAATTAAGTTCTTTACATGTAACGTTAAAATAGTTTATTGTCTTTGCACTTGTGGATGAATCCTATAAAAAATTTGTTGTTATTGTTATGTTTAATGATGTTTCTTTCTCTTACTGTTGTAGCAGGGCCTCCTCTTCCTCTTTGGCCTCTTCCTTGGCCACCTCCCTCTCTTCCTTGGCCACCTCCCCCGCTTCCTTGGCCAGCTGCCCCTCTTCTTTGTCCATCTCCTCCTCCTTGGCCACCTCCTCTTCCTGCTCCTCTCCCGCCACCTCGTCAATGTTTCCATTTACCCCTATGATGTCTCTTTTTCTTCTAACAACAAAAAAAGATTAAGGTAAGTTATACTAATAATAAGAACACAATACACATTAACATGTTTTAAATACCATTAGATACTACTAACACATGAAGGAATAGTACTGTATGTTCATGTAGTATCATTATTCTTGAAAGTAATATGAAATTAACAAGTTAACTAAAGACAAAGTTACTCAATAAGGGATAGCATTTTACAGGCAAGAATAATTACATTGTTAATAATAATAAATGTACCTCAGACTGATGCTCAATCTCACCTCCAGCATTCCTTAAAATTGCAGTGCTGTTCTTTTTGCACGTCCAGCATAAGTTCGTCATTGGCTTGATGCTGTAAATGTGGGGAACATACTTTCTCCATATTCTTTTAAAGGAACTTTCACAGAGAGTATGTTCCCTACCAGCATCAGCATACTGCCGGTAAACCATGCGTCGGGACACACTGGACAGCAATAGCTTGGCCTTCCCATAATCCCTCACTCCAGGTATCCTCCCAGGTAGTAAAATGGCGTAGTCTTCAGCATAGTTCTCCAAAAATGCTACCACATCTTTAATGCCTTCCACAGAAACAGCATGACAAGGAATGCGACCAGTGTTCCCATGAACCCTTCATTAAAAATTTTAATTACTCTTCTTTGGATTATTCTTATTATTTTTACCTAGGTTTTATTCCATTTTGAAGGAAATGCCTCCTCAAGTTCCTGTAAGTACCATTTCTGATACTGTATAGGAACAAGAAGAGCTTCTTACATATCTATTTTTAAAAGATAAGAAATAACTTATTGTTATAGATATTTTTTGTTCAATACTTTCTTTCCCCTGTATTCATACTCAGTCCTATTCCTCTGAACTGTTTCACAAGATGTTGAAGACTTTTCTCACTCTCTGAATAATAATAACAATAAAAATAAAAATAATAATAATAATAAATAATAATAATAATAATAATAATGATAATAATAATAATATTCCTTCTCACTCTCATAATAATAATAACAATAACAATAATAATAATGATAATAATAATGGAACACCAACTATGCTCAGGTATTAGGGTGGATTAGGACTCATCTAACTTTCTCAACTTTGAGAGCCACAATCTTATGTCTTAGGGGCACACGTACCAAATGGAGGTCAATGAATATGGCTGACAGTTTCCCCCTTAACATTATTATGCACTAAAATGAACAAATTACTATTACTTTAATTTTTTTTCCAACACTATTTCTAGTCCTAAACTACTTTTGTTCTACTTGATGTATTTTGGTTAATTTATTATAATAATAATAATAATAATAATATTAAAAATAATAATAATGATAATAATAATAATAATAATAATAATAATATTCCTTTCTCACTCTCAAAAATAATAACAACAATATATATACAATAATAATAATAATAATAATATTCCTTTCTCACTCTCATAAAAATAACAATAACAATAATAATAATAATAATAATAATAATAATATTAATAATAAAATAATAAGTAATAAATGAAAATAATAATAACATTCCTTTCTAACTCTCATAAAAATAATAACAATAATAATAATAATAATAATAATAATAATAAAAACAAATAATAATAATGATTATGATAATAATAATAATAATAATAATAATAATAATAATAATAATAATAATAATAATAGTAAATAAGGAAAAATAATAAAAAAATAAAAATAATAATAAATAATAATAAT